TATAAATTAAATATTTAATGAATTTCAAATATATACAATAAAAATTAAATTTTTGTTAATATAGTATAAGATTATCTAAAGAAATTTTTTACACAAATATTATTTTAAATTTATTATTATTTCATCTATAAGTAGCTATATTCTTTTATTATCAATATATAACATTAATATTATTAAGTATTTACAGAATTTCGGTTTTGAAAAACATTTTCAAAAGTCTGTAACTGCTTAATAAATACATATTATATAAACAGGACTTTTGTTAAAACATTATATATACAAGAATGAATTTTAAAACATTATCTATATGAATTTGTAATAATATTATGTACTAATATTTATGTAAAATTAATTGCTAAGCTTTTCGATATGTCTTTCTAATTACAGATACCAAAACAATGTAATAATTTCTAAATTAAATTTAATAATATATATCATTGGATATATATATGAATATTTGAAAATGCTTCATTTACTTCTTTATATAGTAAATTTGTTATGGAAATATATGAAAATGAAATCATTAGAATAATATTTTAAAGTTTAAAGAAGGAAGAGAGCATTTTCATATCTTTGTATATTTATTTTACAAGATATTAATTTCTCACTCTCAACGTTTTACTTTTATAACATATTAACTATTAACAAGAATTTTACATACATATTGCTACACACACGTGTATAGGTGAGCATATATAAGTTTTTCTATGGAAAATTTAATACTATCCAGCTATTAGCTGTGAACACTTGGGCAGTTAAAATTTTTGTTATATAATTGTCATTTTCACAACGATTATATGTAAAAAATAAAATAGAATTAACAGTAAATAAAAAACAATGACTTATTATTATCTATAAAAATATTATAGATATAACTTAAGCATATTACTGTATAATATATAGTGAAAGACATAAATAAAATATCAATGAAAGACATAAATTTGTTCATGTGTAAAAACATATACATATTTTAACGAACGAATATAATTTTAAGGAAACATATAAGATGAAACATATAAGTCTTCATCAAAAAATTTAAAATATATTAATTAATTCCGTTTTCAAAATATACTTTTAAAATTTTAATCTTAAAAACAAGATATTATAGCATGAATTCTAATTTTTTCTCATTATGAAATATTATTTGTGATTCACCGAGCCATATTTACATAAATATATTTATAATTCTTCTCTGATATTATATGACAAAGCTTAATACAATTTTATATACTATTGTTTCTTTTTTTTTTTATTTTTCTTTTAAGCTTCTTCTTTTTTTCATAACTATTTTAATAATAGTATTTAATAATAGTATTATTTAAACAATTAATTTTTTCTAATAGCAAAACAAAAAAAAACTTCAAATTTAATCCAATGTTCTATCTTAATCAGCATAATCTATATAAATTAAATATATTTGTCATTTGAGAAATTTGAATTACTTTGGAATGTATATTTATTTAAATATTTCTTTTGAATTTATTTAATTTATTGAACAATGTATGATTTATATATTTTTACGAGCAATTTATTTCAAAGAAACAATAGATTTTTTTTTCTCTTTATTTTTTTTTAGAATAAATCTCTTAATATATGTATGCTGAATGAATTTTTTAATTTCATCTTATATGCTAACAATAAACTTGTATATGTATATAGAAGGTGTTATATTAATATATTCGTGGAATATCTTTGAAAAATAAATTTTAGAAACAAAAACAAACACAAAAATAGATATACAAAAATATTGGCTTATTTATTAAGTTATATATATTAAGTTATATATTATATATATAATTTAAGTTTGCATTAGATGAAGTGAGACAGGAAAAGAGCAATACTTCTCACAATTGTTTTACTCTACATTTTGCTATGTTTAACACAAATTTAAATTATTTATATAATAATTATATTTATATATAATTAATCAATAACATTATAATAATTTATAATAATTAATTCAACTGTTTATGATAAATAAGTTTTAACTGAAATTTTATTATTATTATTATCAATTTTTGTATTTGTTTTGGTTAAAATTGATCCTCAAAAGATATTCTACAATACTAACATCCTATATACACACATACGTATATATACGTAAATATATATATATATATTTAAATTATTCGATGAGATATGTCATCAAAAATACTTTTCAGATTTTTAATGATATAGAATTTTTTTTAAAGAAATTGTACTTATTATCGAAATTTGCACATATTTACACAACAAAAGCGCATATAATATTACTTTTTTACATTGCAAACAATTATCAGTCATATTAGAGCAATTACTACATACGATTTGTAGAGTAGCACCGCTGCTCTATAAGCGTAACTTCTTTTAAAGTTTAGAATTGTTTATGTCTAAATTCAAATTGCATTAAATTCGATAATTAAATAGTTAAACTATTTTCGTCGGAACGAAGAACAAATATTATGAGATATAATTTTACAAATTTTCTGCTGAATCTAAAATGAAAGATCCAACATTTTCTTCTATCTCATTATAAATGATTTTATTATTAATTCGATTATTTAAATTTATTATGCTATACTTAGAAATTAAAAAGCGGACCTATATCCGCCATTTCGGTATCTTCCATATTATTTGAGCCTACAACATGATGCCTAGAAATTAAAAAATAATTTTTCAAGTATAGAAGCACATATTTTAGATAATTAATAATTATGATTGAATTTACATATAAAATATTTATATCATAAAATGTAAAATATAAATATAAGTATATAAATATTTATATAAATACAAATAATATAAAATATAAATATTATAAAATATTTATGCTTTTCAAAGTATATAAGTAAATAAATGAAATATTAAGTTTAAAAATACCTATGTTGATGAAAATGAGATGTTGTACGAATATGACCATCAGGTGATCTTGATGACAAACTGTGAAGACTTCCTGTACTTAAGAAACCTTTGCGTGGGCTTCTAGCGTTTACGATTCTTGGTTGTGCACACATTTCCTCCAAAACACTAGGTGCTACATATGTAAAACCCTGTAAACAGTTTATTATATTATTTTAATATTAAATTAAATAATAATCATTACATTAATTTTAATAATTTTATTTTAAAAATTAATTCGAATATATTTTTTCTATCTATTTTGCAACTTACTTGAAAAATCATATTAGCAGATTCACTTAAAGTACTTTCAACTGGTGAATCAACTGGTACAGTTGCTGTGAATTGTTCATCAAATTGTGATGTGTCATCTGCACTTTTCTACAAATATTAAAAAATGTATTATGTATTTAATATTGCAATATGTTATTTAAATCAATGATACTTACTAATGATGGTTTAAAAGGAGGTTCTAACTTTCGCGATATTACATCTTGCCAATTAATATGTTCAAAAAAATTATGATTCATAATTTGTTCAGCATCTTCAGGCCCGGATCCCAATCTTTGTGATACTTGTCTCTATAATTAATATGTAAAACACACATATAGTATTATCAAATATAAATATACAATTATACAATAACTAAACAAAATTATTATTTTATAAAAAGAAGTGAAAAGATACTTTTAATAATTTTCGTATTAAGTCTCTTGCATCTGGTGTTAAATATAACGGAAGATTTAACTTTCCGCGTAAAATCTTCTCGATTGTTTTTCTTCTATCATCTCCTGTAAATGGTGGCTGTAGGAATAATATATATATGTATAATCATATTATTTGATTCAATTTTATATTTTAAAAATATTTT